GAAGAGGTATTTTGATAGTCTAAATTGGTTATACCATTCAACGTTTATATGATCCTTGTACTTTAAAAGTAAGAACCTATTGTGAGATACAACGTAACGTACCTATTATCCAATTGTACACCATTTTTATTAATGGATCTACCATCATCCCGACGCCTATACAGTGGACTCCTATCTGGGTCAAAATTAGATGACTCGATAACTTTTTGGGAAAATGTTTTGAGCATTTTCCATTAACCATGCATGGTGTGTTTTTTCTGGCAACACCACATGGGTCGTCGACCATAAATTCCTCCACTACGTTATAGTAGTCGTAGTTTATTAGCTTTTCTCGGATCTCCACCGAAATAATCGTCTCCATGAAGGTTGGAGTTGATATTTCATCGGTCTTTGGAAGGAAAGCCGAATATGAGCATGCGGTAGACCACGCTTCTAGAATTCAATGGTGTATATAACTGCATGATAGAGATTCACTATGTATGTATTAGAAATTGTATACATGAATGATGGTAAAGGACAATAAAGATAAGTTATGATACCATACCTGTAACATCGCTAAATAATTTTCTAGTCTTTAGCTCCATGATTAAACAATCCAACTTCATTTTGAAAATACGACAAACTATGTCAAGCCGATTCTCAGCTTTCAAGTTCTGTTTCCCAAGGTAACATTGTATCTCAGGCCACTTTGGGTTACATGTAAATGTAATAAATAGGTTTGGATACCCTATTAAATGACATATAGCCATTGCATCTAGATAGTTTTGGATCATATACCTTTCTCCGCCAATAAAACTTGATGGAAGGAATATCCTTCTTCCTTGCGTGCTAGGTTCAACTTCTCCTTGCATCAAGGCATATGATAAACCTTTGTAAGCTTCACATCTCAAGGCTTTCTAATTGTTTCGTATATATATATAAGTCTACCAGACTCAACCATTCTATACACATCAACTAAGAACTGTTGGAATAACCTCCTAACATACATTAAAGTTGAAGTTTCAATTAACCTTTCATGAATACTGAATGCAAAAAGACTCTCTTTGAGAGATATGATGTCTTGAACAATTCTGGTTGTTAACACTCCCTACAAATTGGATATTCTCCCTATATCCATCTTCACCAAATAGAAACAAAATAGGGTACTGCAATGGTAGGTATGACAGATTCAATTCATTTATCCTCTTCAAATTACCATATTTGGACTCCACCAAAATGTCACGCGGACCCATCGTGGGGTATAAATCACTAACAATAAGAGCTGCAACCTCTGACGTTGTTGGTAGGTTATAAGTTCTTGCATCTCACAATCACACTTCCAAATTTTAATATTATATATCTAATAGTAATAATAACCACTGCAAATTGATTCAAAAATTTAGACAAAAAGAACTATTTTATGGAACAACTCACAAAATAATCTCTCATTTTCTCTTTATATTTTGTCATCTTATGTTTGCAAACATAATTACAAATTAAAGGTTTGTTACTTCTAATATAGCACAACTTTTGTTTTAAGGCAATTACTTTATCAAAAGGAGAAGTATTGCCCAACTCTTAAGGAAAGAGGGAGATAGATTTGCCCTGAAAGGGATGGTAGAGCGCTGATGTATAATTGTCATACCTAAATGTTACTAGTTCAATTTTTGTCAATATCCTTTCGGTTGAGTCCTTCATATGGGATATTCGTAGTTTAGTTTACCTCTCATGTATGGTTTGTGGACTAATATACAGAAGTGGGTTTGTCCCGTGCACACCTTTGGATAATGGTTGTGGGTTTCCCTTGTCACACACCATAAATAAATAAATAAATAAGAAGATTGATTCTCACCTTCATTCCACAAGCATAGTTAATGTTGAAAATGACATTTTCAATCCATTACTTATAAATTTTGTTACCATTAACAATTTATTTTGAATTTCCAAATAATTAAAGGGTATATTGGTAATTTTTTAAAATTTCCCAAATTCCCTCCATGAATCTTCATATATATGATACTCTTATCGCAAAATTCTTGCTAAATACTTTTTTGTCTTGATTGAGGAGGAATCCGGGAAGCAATAATGATAACCAACAAATTACTTAGGATTGAAGTTACACCGAATTGTAAGTTTAATATGTTAGTTTATTACAATTTTTTCTTTTGTTGAATGTAAATTACCCCTTTTGATATCCCATTGAGTTCATACCATAATGAGTAATGTATGCAATTTAGTTATTTTAATATGGTAATTGCTTGTTTGTAGAGGATTATACAAAAGGTGAAGCAATGTATTACTATTTTAATGAGTTCATTCCAGCAATGGTCCTCTGACTATTGCGATTTTTCAAAATTAGTCCCCGTCTTTTAATTTGGATAGAATAGACCCTTGACTATCAGATTTATTCCAGCATTGGTCCTTCCGTCAACCTTCAGTTTGTTAGGCGTTAGTGTAGGGGCTAAAATTGTCATTTCATTTGATTTCTTTCTTCTTCCTCTTTTTCTTGGTGTCCACTACCGATGAATGTGCCAGAAACAATATAGAGACTCTACCACTTCACTCTCCATCTTCACCCACTTCCTTTTCTCCTATTTCCTTCCATTGTTTCCTCACGTCCCTCCATTTCTCTACCTTCCAACCTCCCCGCCACCGTTACCGTTCTTCGCCCAATTTCGTCTCTTTCCGCACCAAAACTTCCTATACTCAAACATAAACCGCTCATTTCCTCCCTTTCCAAGACAATTTGGAAAGGCCCATCACTTGTGACGTGTTTATCATCCTCCGGGAATAACATCTCGACCGCCACCGAGCCGAAGCGGAAGCCGCAAGGTGCAAAGATTATTCCTTTGATTATTTATGTTTCTGTTGGGCTTCTGGTTCTATTTGTCGTCCCAAAACCTGCCGAAGTTTCTGCTTAGGCGTGGAAATTACTTGCTATCTTCCTCTCTAGTCTCCACTATCGCCGGTTTGGTTCTCAGTCCATTGCCGGTCAGGACTTGGGCTTTCTTGGAGCAAAATTAGGCTGGCACTATACTATTAACTATAAATCAAAACTTAATAATGAATTGGCATAATTCTGAAATTGCAGGACCACATGGGCATTTTCCTCTCTCTACTTGTGTAGAACCTTAGAAAATTGCAGAATCACATTAGTATAAATTCTTGTTATGATCGTTCTTCTTTAATTTCCTACACTTCACCTGTAGTGGATGCTAAGGAAAAGAGGAAGAAGAAAGCAAGCTAATGAAATGACCATTTTAGCCCCAAAACTAACGCCTAACAAATTGAAGGTTGACGGAAGGACCAATGCTGGAACAAATGTGATAGTCAATGGTCTATTATGTCCAAATTAAAAGATGATGACTAATTTTGAAAAATTGCAATAGTCAGAGGACCATTGTTGGAATTAACTCATATTTTAATCTAAGCAGTATTTTTGTGTATTATTGTATTTTGTTGGAGATGCAATCCTTTTTCACCATATCATGAAGTTGGTTTTAGATTTAGTGAAAGTTGGATGGATGAGATAACTACTTTATTGGTCTTAAGATGAAGCAAATAGTGAATAAAAACATATAATTATCTAGACATACACAACCAATTAGTAGTTAATACACTCGGGAAGATTTAGTACAACATCCAACATTTATTATGAATCAGTGTTAGGAACATTTGTAATTAGATTTTGATGATACCAAACAATAGGAGTTTAGACCCCCAATTATTTTACTTTCTAGACTTAGGATATTTCTACTTAACATTCGAATCAAACTGAATGGTACCTCAAGTAGTAAAAATGTATAAATCCGAATGGACTCTCAGAAGACAATCCTAACAATGATTTGAAGAGTAACCTGAGTGGCTAACTCTCAAATGAGACAAAGACAACGAGTCGAAGATCAACCCGAGGGGTTATCTTCCGAATAGACCAGATCAAGAAGATGAGCAACCCAAGTGGTTATCTCTAGTTTGAGACTGAAGACTGAAGACTGTAGATTTGAAGAGTGGAAGATTATCAAGACCGAGAGGCTACAAAGACTGAATGACGGAAGGGTCGGTCTTCCATTCGTAGTGTATCAAGACCAAATGGTAAAGTCAACTATTCATACCTAAAGGGTCACAAATGTCAAAGATAGGAAGGACCTACCCTTTCGAGGAGTTAAGGGATGAGTGGTAAGGTTAACCATTTGTATCCGAGAGGACCTAAGGCTCAAGGCGTTAACCTAGTTAACTACTCGATAGGACTGCTCGAGACATTCTCTGAGCTATACAGTCTGAAACCTTAAAAGGTTAAGTGAATATGTTCAAGGAAAAGTGAGTCCTAAGAACATATCCCGAGGTTGATATTCCATTAAATGCCCTGACCTTTTGTACAAACCCTCCAGATTACCCGCCAATCTCTACCCGCTTGTCACTAAGGCATTTGAAAATAATTTTCCCTCCAACGGAACTATTTTTCACCCTCCCTACAAATACCCTCTTCCTTAACTGAAGAAGCTCCTGGTTAATTTGAGATTTCTAAGTGTGAAAAACATTCTAGCGTTCTAGTATTTACGACCAGTGCGATAAAGAGAAAAGAGAGACCAAAGCTTAAAGATCATATCCAGATTTTCAAGAGTCTTGAGCTGCTTCTAACTTTGAAGATCCAGATTCAAGAAGCCAATAACTCTCAGTTGGAGAAGAAGAAACTTTATTTCTTTAACATGTATTCTCTAATCGGTTGTAGTAGAAAGAGGCAAAGTAAACTCGGTTTTGAGTTGAAAAACCTGTTTGGTGTGGTTCACTACCAGCTTTGTGGTCAAGGGTTGAACGTCCTGAGAATTGTACTAGAGATGGTGCAATCCTTCACGAGTTACGAAGAAGAGTGGAGTAGGCTAGTTATAGCCGAACCACTATAAAAATCGCTCATTTTCCGTCTCTTTATTATTATTGCTTTACATCTGCATTAAACAACCAAACCTAAAGTTTAACAAGCAAAACCTTACATGAAAACTATGATCTCGCACTTCTCTTTCTTTCTACTCTTCCTTAAGTGATAGAATTTGCTTCTCAAACTGGCTTATTATGCTCATCATCTCATTATTTTTTAGCACAATGCTCTTGATAGATTCGCATTCAGCCAATAGTTGAGCATCCTCTTCTTTGAATTTGGCATGAGTGTTCTTCACATACTTGAAGTCATTCATCAATTTAAGAACTGAATCCATAGGATCTTCATCACAACTAGACTCGAACTCACACTAGGTAAAAGAGGATTGAGAGTTTACCTCTTCGTCTTTTGTCATCAAGCATAAGTCCTCATCAGAATCTTGCTGGTTGTAGAGACATATGAGTCCCTTCTCATCACCTGAGCTTTCGCTCTCTGAACTCGAGCTGGAGGTGCACTGCTCAGGTGTCGCCTTCTCGACTGACTCTTCTATCACTAGTGCCTTTATCCTCCTGTCACCTTTTGTGTGACTAGACGAGTTGTTAGCGCTTCGACCACTTGTTTCTCCAGGGGAATTCCTCGGGTTGCTACTGTTGCCAGCACTCCTTGGTTTGTCTTGGTGCTTCCGGACCACCAGATAAGGGCATTCCGCCTTACAGTGCCCTGGCTTCCTGCAATTGTAGCATAGAGATTGCAACTCCTCGGAGTCCCTACTCTTCAAGGTATTTGACCTCTCAGAGTTTCTCCGAATTGAGGAAGATGGTGTTGCTAGAGAGCTTTGTGGGTTGTTCTTCCTCATGAACCTCTTAAACTTCTTGACAAACATGGCAAACTACTCGTCAGTTAAAAAATTAGCAGGGTTAGAGTTGGACCTGGATGAAATTGAGGGTTGTTGGTCAGCAACCAACATGACATTTCTAGGCTCGAGTTCCTCTTCCCGTCTCAATTTTCTTTCAAACTCGTAGGCCATTAGGTTGCTGAAGATTTGAGATGTCTAGATTGTCTTCAGGTCTCTGTGGACACGCATTGCTATAACCTTCATCTCCCATGATTTGGGTAGTCCTTGGAGAATCTTCAGATTGATCTCCTTCTAGCTCAACTCCTTTCCTAGGTCTGTAATCTCGCTAAAGAGCTTCATAAATCGAGTCTCTATCTCAGCTATGTTTTCGCCAATCTTCATCTTGAAGTCCTCGAACTTCTTCATTGCGGTAGTCAACTTATTTTCCTTCTCCTGCTCGTCCCCTTCTCTAATCTACATCAAGATATTCCACATCTCCTTTGCAGATGTGCATTTTCTGATCCTAGGGAGTAAGGTATCATCGATTGTCTTGAATAGAATGTCCTTGGCTATGTTGTCCAAGTTGTTCCTCATTCGGTCTTCAGTGGTCCATGCATATTTAGACTTGACCAGGTATATAAAACCCCCTAAAAACAGGCTAATTAAAAACCTTAAACATGCAGATAACATAACTAAACAACAAACACAGTGGAAGACTAAGAGATAACTGGATAAACATAAATCCAAGTCATAGGGTGTTATGCCACGTTCACCAACAAGGATGAACGCTACGGCAATATCTGCATTGTTTACAACTATCCAAAGTCTCAAAAGTCTACAACTAGAGCGGCACACAGGCCATAGAACAAACGGGAGAAGCTATGCTAACAGGCACTAGACTGCGCACTCGCCTAGACATCACCTGAAAGAACACAATAAAACATGGGACGACGCCCGGTCAGCGAATAAAGCTGGTAACCCACCAATACATGTGAAATAACATACATAAGTAAGATATAAGTTGTAAAGCCATTTTCGAAACGGAATACATAAGTATATAAGTACAAAACCAAGAGCAATAATCAACACAAGACTCAACACTCTCTCGATCAAGGATACGGGAACACATCCCAAACCACAAAGGCTAACCAAAGCACAAAGGATAAAGACAAGACCGATGGCAACACATGCCTTGTGACTACACACGTCACAAGAAAGAGATTCATAACCATGGCTACACAAGCCCTCGTGACATCACCCATCACGAGTTGATATGCATTCCTTATGCCCGGTTCCAACCTTATGGCTACCCCCAACCTTGTATCTTCTTCTAACCATTACCTCCAGGACCCCTTACTTCTTAGTCCAACCTTTTCCCTCCTGGGACCGTCGTCCCCCACCAACAAACCACCAACAAGACCACCAATTTCATAGTACACGAGGGTACCGTACACACACACGGCAACACATGCCACCCAAGAATCACGTGAACCTTACACAAAGGTCACAACTCCATAATCACGTCACGGCCACCACGAGGACCGCTGCAATACCTTGGTGACTAGTGTCCCATACCACTAATCGTGCAATCCAGGGAAAGCCACACACACATCACACCACAACAGGAATCAATCAACGGATCACAACGAAGATATGAAACCATGCTCAATCAAGGAACGGGTCACAGCCCAATAACAACAACGATGAATAACACAAGTTATCATCAACCAATAGGAAGGTACAAACAACGCACACGCTAGCATTTAAACACCGAACTAGCATGCTTATCAAACGGGTAAACCAGACGTAGTTCTAAAGAACACACAAGACTCATCACGGTTCAACGAAACACAATGTTGAACACTTAGCACGATTCACGACACCAGAACCTACATGGAATCCTACCATATAGTTCTAGACATACGAAACATCAAGAAGACACTCAAATAGTTCCACAAAAGAACATCGGGAAGTCAAAAGACCAAATACCAAGTCAAAAGAATCACGGGGAACAAATCCCCAAACAAAACCAACTTGTGTACCCGCGGGTGGGCCCACGGGTAGGCCCCTACCCGTGGTCCTACCCGCGGGTACAGGCTCCTCCACCCAGTGTACCCCGCGGGTGGGCGACGGGTGGGCCTCCTACCCGCCGTTCCGCCCGCGGGCTGTACCACAAAACCACACTTTGCGGATTTTTCATCTCCAACTCAAATTCAAGTCCAAAACATGCCAAATCTCACCAAATACAACAAAATGACTTGAATCAAAGGAAATGCCAAGCAATGGCACACAAGAACCCTAAACACAAGCTCTAGATATGCATTTTCACAAGATCATGCATCAACACTCACATTTCATAGCAAAACACATGTAGAATCCAAGAAATATTCATATAGGTAAGCAAAATAGGTTTTGTAGAGCACGGGTTACCTCTTGTAGACTAAAGACTTCACTTTACACCTCAACAAGCTCCTCTCAAGGCTCACCTTCCAAACCCACTTCAAGAACACACCAAAAAATCATAAAGATCCTATCTTTAAGAAAAGACACCTTAGATAAAACCAAAAACACAAGATGAACTTAGATCTTACCCTCCTAGATTCCCAAATATATGAAAGGTTGAATCTTGGAAGCAACTCTTGAAGTTTTGGCAAGGCTCCAACTTGGCTTGGAAGAAAAGCTACTCACCTTTTAGAGAGAGGATGGAGCTAGATTTTTAGAAAAGTGTAAGGAGAGAATGAAGGTGGTCTTACTAGGTTAGGTTACATTACCAATAACAAGTGAAAGGTTAAGAATACCCTTACTAACATAAGGAAGTGTAAGAAACAAGGGAACTCCTTACAAAGCTCAAGGTACAATTTTGACTTTGGAGTTGACTAGTTAATTACTAATCCCCAACTATTAAATTTCAGGAATTTAAGGAATTAAATTACAAATTGAAATATGATTAATTACTCAATTAATCCCTTAATTAGATTTGGATTTTCGGGGTGCACAAGGTACGCATGTGCATCTAATCCTTGTGCTACTCGGTTAACATTGAGCATCATAATTTGCACAGGACCCTCCGTTATAACCTCCCGCATCTCATCGTGGAGAAAAGAGAGGTGCGCCTGCAAAACACCTCCCAGTCATCAAATTTGCTCAATTTAAACATAGGATGCTTAGAGTGGTGATGATCCATATTATTTGGAAAATAATACGTGCAAAGGGAAATTGGGTTTGAGATTTTGAATAGAGATCAACAGGCAGTATATTCAGTCGCCGTACTTATACCCAGAAGACCAAAATTCCTCAGTATTTCAAAACCTTTCAAGGGCATTAATGTCTTCATCCGGTCGCAATTTAATTTCGCCCAAACCCATTCTTGCAACAACCAGACCCATTTTCGAAAGGTATATAAGATTATAAGTCTAAAACTCAGTTGAATCTAGCTGGCATTGCAAAGGCTAATAGGTCTGAGTTGGGATACCTTTTCCAAATGGGGGATTTTCGGAATGAGAGCCAAAAGGTATCATTGAGGCTATCCAACAGTAGACTGTTTAGTTTTAAGATGCTACGTCCTACTATGCTCTAATTGTGTTGGTAGAACGCAACTGGAATACCATCTAGGTTTGGTGATTTGAAAAAGCCTTGTCAAAGAGAGCTTGTTTTATTTCATCTTCCGTGAAAGACCTGTTTAAATCATCCCAAACAGTCCCATGACCTGCTGGGAATGCTATAGGTTCAATCGGTATTATGACCTCATCCTCTGGTTTCTACTTTCTAAAACAACTACAGATAAAATCCTAGACCATATCCTTTAGTCAAGTTTCCTCTACCACCCAAGTGCCTTCGCCATCTAGTAGTGTAGTGATTTTGCTACTACCGACATATGGTAAAAACGGGTATTTCACTCCCCCGAGGTGATCCAATCTTCTTTTGACTTTTGGAACCAATGCAGTTCTTCTTGATGGAGCACCTCGTCCAGCTCTTTTATGAGTTTTTCTTTTAGCTTCATTTAGCCTTTTGAGAAATTGCATTGGATTCCAGCAATCCTAACCTTTAATCTGTCTCGTTTCTTGAAAATATTTCCAAATTGGGAATGGCTCCATTGTTTTAGACTTTTTGCAAGTTTTGCATAGGTTTCCATCTGCATCCTAGGTATTGCTCACTACACTACGAAAGTGAGGATGAAACAGCCATGGGGCTTGGAATCTAAATGGGCAGGGTTACTTGGGGATTAGCCCCAGCTTGTTTTGTAGTAAGATCGGGCAGTGATTAGATCCTATTCGTGGTAGATGGGACACTGTTGCTTCTTGAAATCTTTCTCTCCACTCTAATTTGCAAACTGTTCTGTCTAATCGCGCCCCCTTCTATGATGAATTCGCTTGTCCATGGGTCGACGTAAACCGGTTGCCTGAAAATCTCACGTCTACCAAACCTTCTTTAAACATCCACGTAACGAACTGTGTGCACCTCTAGTTGTTAATAGTGAGGGCATTTGAAATTTCATTTATTGATAGCACAACATTAAAATCTCCCATGCAGATACATGGTCCCGTAATATGATAGTTATTAGCCCTAAGGTCTTCCCAAAGTGTCCTGCGAAGATGTCCTTTAATTTTGGATTGCCATTGACGAAGGTGATCCACTAGGAGGGAGAGCCATGCTCAGCAACTTTTATATACACAAACTAAGGGTGAGTTGCTACGACATTCACCTTAATCTCGTTTTGCCAAAATAGCCAGATACCACTATTGAAGTCGACTACCTCCACTCTCAACCAAGTATCATACCCAATTGATTTAAAGACAGCATCTGCATGCACACCTGAGACCTTAGTCTCAAATAAGTAGAAGATTTATGGGCGAATGTTGCGAATCAAATCCTTTAAAAAGCACAAGAAGCCACGAGATGCGACACCTTGATAGTTCCATGAGATACACTACATGTTTAGAAGAAAAAAAAAAAGGAAAAGAGACAAAAACCAAGAAAACAAGCAAACCTGATAAAATACCATAGTCATCCTGTTGAACTAGGGAATTCGGAGTCCTCGATTCCATCCC